AAGCTCAGCGAATTATTGGGCTCAGAAGTACCGTGAACCTCCAAGTAGGGTTCAGGGTACCCCCCGCCAGTCTGGAAAAGGGCATGGTGGTTTCGGGTCGAGCCTGAGCGGGCTTGCGCCCAGGATCTCTCAACCCTTCCGGGTACCCTTGGGTTTTGGGGAGGGTTGACGATTTATCTAAGCTTGCTTAACGAACCCCTGGCGGTATCCTTGTTGGGAGTACGAGGAAGCCTGTAGGGGTGCTGCCTTAGGGGGGCCCGAATCTTCTTCGGATGTGAAACCCAACAACGCAGGGTGAGAATCAGAGGCCCGAATGTCTAAAAACACCCTGAGCCGTAGACCACGTTGCAAGCCTAAGCCTGAGTAACCAGATTCTGGGATTTATGTTTAGGGTTTAGGGTTTAGGGTTTAGGGTTTAGGGTTTAGGGTTTCGGGTTTAGGGTGTACTTCAACCCAGGACCCTAAAACCCCCAAGCCCCGTGCAGGCAGTCATCGTCCGCGTCATGAAGAGCCGCAAGACGCTGGCACCTCCACCGCACTAGATTGGAGAGCCTACTAGAGTGGGTTTAGGGTTTAGGGTTTAGGGCTGAATTGGGGCTTGGGCTGAAGGCTTCACATGGTTGGTGTTGATGGGGTTGCCCCACCTACATGCTAATCCCCGAAACCCGCGAAAGCTCTTAAGCTTAAACCCTACGAAGCTACGCCCGAACCCCAAGCCCACAACCCTCAAGCTCTCAACCCTCAAGCCCCGCAAGCCCTGAACCCCGAAACCCTAATTTTTAAACCCTGAACCCTAAAGCCCAAACCCTAAACTCCAGACTCCAAGCCACAAACCCCAAGCCCCAAGGCCTACGAGCGGCCAACACCCTGAAGGCTCTTTATACCCCCCCGACCTCAGAGGCGGTCCTAACACAGCTTTCCAGCTTCCAAAGTAAAGGCACCTGGGTGAAGTTTAGAGTTTACCCTAAACCCTCCCTTAGGGGACGTTGATGAGATACTTCGCCCGCGCGCGAGCCGTATTGAAGGCAAAAGCACAGCGGTCACACTCATCAGCTCTGCGCTCGTGAAGGAAACGCTTGAGCGACTCTCCAATCCACGACTGCTGAAGCTCTGCCTTGACGGCACCTTCCGCCTTCTGTTCGGCGACTACGTTTTGCTCAGCGTGGGCGTTTTGTCCAAGCAGTGGAGCAGCAAGGCCGAGAGTGGTGCCAACCACCAGCCGCTCCACCTTCAACGGTTTTTGTATTTCGCATACCGAGAACGAGCTTGGGTACACGGACTTGGTGCACAGTGTGTTGGACGTCGCGCATGAAGCTGGCTGCGACCTTGATGTCGCCTGCGTGCGACAATGGCATGCTGATATGAACCCTGAACCCTAAACCCTAAACCCTAAACCCTAAACCCTAAACCCTAAACCCTGAAAAACACTAAACCCTAAACCTTGAAAAACACTAAACCCTAAACCCTAAACCCTAAACCCTAAACCCTAAACCCTAAACCCTAAACCCTAAACCTGAAACCCTAAACCCTAAACCCTAAACCCTAAACCCTAAACCCTAAACCCTAAACCTTGTTGAGATTAGAATAGTTTAGGGGGTTTGGGGTTAAGTGTTTGGGTTTTTGGGCTTGGGGTCTAGGGCTTCGACTGTCGGGGTTTCAGGTTGACGCCCCACTAAGTATGGTAGTCTGGTTGAGAAATGGGGTTCTACGTGAGATCTTTACGAAGGGTTTAGGGTTTAGGGTTTAGGGTCTAGGGTCTAGGGTTTAGGGTTTAGGGTCTGGGGTTTGGGGTTTAGGGTTTAGGGTTTCGGATTTGGGGTTTAGGGTTTAGGGTTTAGGGTCTAGGGTTTAGGGTTTAGGGTTTAGGGGTCTAGGGTTTAGGGTTTCGGATTTGGGGTTTAGGGTTTAGGGTTTAGAACTGCCCAGGACCTCCAAATAGGCCCCGAGATGGCTGTTTCTTGCGCTTCAGGAGCACAACCAGCTGGTCATGGAGGCGGGGCCGCAGCCGAATCTAAGGTTCGGGGTTCAGGGGCTGAAGCCCTAAACCCTAAACCCTAAACCCTAAACCCTAAACCCTAAACCCTAAACCCTAAACCCTAAACCCTAAACCCTAAACCCTAAACCCGAAACCCTGCTCCCGAAACAGTGGACCCCTCAACCTTCACCCTGGATCCGCGAAGCGGTAGACCAGCCCCATAACGTGCTGCATCGTTCCATCGCGGTGGAGGCATACCTGTTGTTCTCCTTTTAGGGTTCAGGTTTCCGGCTTAGGGTCTAGGGTTCTGAGGGCAATCCCAAACCCGAAGCCCGGTTTAGGTTTCGGGTTTAGGTTTTAGGGTTTAGGTTTAGGTTTTGGGTTTAGGTTTATGGTTTAAGGTTTAGGGTTTGGGGTTTAGGGTTTAGGGTGACGACTGATCGACCTCGCGGCCATGGCGATGAGGATTCGAAGCGACAAGGATCTGAAGCGAGTTATGCACTCCAGCCCGACACAGACAAACCCTACTTAAAACCCTCTAAAGCCCTTCCGACATCTCCACCCCAAAGCCTAAACTCCAAAATCCCTTGACCCTGAACCCCGAAATTAGGGGTACCTTATTGGCGTCCTTATTTAAGTGGATCCTAGCCTAGTATTATGGGGTCAATGTTGGGGTCCCCTGTTCTCGTAAACCTCATATCCCTAAACCCTAACCCCTAAACCCTGAACCCTTTAAACCCTAAACCCCTAAACCCCTAAACCCCGAAACCCCTAAACCCCTAAACCCCTAAACCCCCAAACCCCCAAACCCCTAAACCCCCAAACCCCCAAACCCCCAAACCCCCAAACCCCTAAACCCCTAAACCCCTAAACCCCTAAACCCTAAACCCTAACCCCTAAACCCTTTAAACCCTAAACCCTAACCCCTAAACCCCTAAACCCTAGACCCTAAACCCCTGAACCCCTAAACCCCTAAACCCCTAAACCCCTAAACCCCTAAACCCCTAAATTCCTAAACCCTGAACCCTGAACTCTAAACCCTAAACCCTAAACCCTGAACCCTAAACCCTAAAACCTAAAGTTGATTTGGATCTCACCTTCTCTGGGCCGAACCCCTAAATAACCCGCAAAAGATCATAGACGCGTGTGTGTGCGCGCGCGGGTGTGTGTGTGTGTGTGTGTGTGTGTGTGTGTGTGTGTGTGTGTGTGTGTGTGTGTGTCTTTGTGTGTGTGTGTGTGTTTTTCTCCTAGGGTCCTTTCACCCCCAAACCCAACAACCCAACAGCCGTATAGGGAGGGTTCTCGGTTTAGGGTTTAGGGTGTGGGGTTCAGGGTTCAGGGTTCAGGGTTCAGGGTTTAGGGTTTAGGGTACAACTCTACACCCTGAACCCCAAACCCAAAACCGTGTAGCCTAAACCCCGAACCCGCAGCAACCGAACCCCTCAAGCTACGCAGGGTTTAGGGTTTGCTCTCAATTGGCGTTACCGCGCAAACCCCAAAACCTTAAGCCTAAAACCCTAGCTAAGGGCAAACCTTGGGGAAGCCTGAACCTTATTGCCTCTGATGCTCTCGTCGCGCAGGTGACGCGGCACCTGACATCACGTTTCCAGCCTGCGCCCACGTTCCTCGGATGTCTTCTTGTGATGGGTTGTAGGGTACCGTAAAGCGTCCCTGCCCATGAAGGGTAGAGTTTGGGGTTTAGGCTTTAGGGGTTTCAGGTTTAGGGTTTGGGGTTTCTTCTGCTTCTTCTGCTTCGTCGACCTCTCTTGCGCGAGTGTGGGTTTAGGGTTTAGGCGAGTACGCTTAGCGGTTTGCTTGGGGGGTGAAGGGGACTTAGGCAAGCAATCATAAAGTGAGTATGCTTTTCAAGTAGGCGATCCCGGACTAGGGTCCCTTTTGGCTGGGCTGCATGTAACAAACTCTAAGTCCCCCGATCCTTCCAATACAGGTTTAAGTGGGCAGAAGCCCTGATCAAAACCCTAAACCCCTAACCCCTAACCCCCAAACCCTAAGCCCTAAGCCCTAAACCCTAAACCCTAAACCCTAAACCCTAAACCCTAAAGCCTAAACCCTAAGCCCTAAAGCCTAAACCCTAAAGCCCAAACCCTAAGCTCTAACGAGTCACTTACGCAGGGTTGAGGCTTTAGGATAGGTCCCCACTTGAAGGTTCATGGTACTTGCTAACCAATTATAACTGTACTTATAACCCTACTTATAATACCCCTAAAGGGCCTTATAGGGGTTATCCCAATTATAAGTAGGGCAGGGTTATAAGCCCAGTTATACTTGGTTAGTAAGTACCATGAACCTTCAAGCAGTGCCTTAGCACTACTGCGACGGAGGCTCATCAAGCAACGGATCGAGAAGCTCATCGAGCGGGAGTTGCTTGGCGAACCCTAAACCCTGCCTCTAAACCCTGGCCTAGGGTTTAGGGTTTAGGGTTTAGGGTTTAGGGTTTAGGGTTTAGGGTTTAGGGTTTAGGGTTTAGGGTTAGGGTTTAGGGTTTAGGGTTTAGGGTTTAGGGTTTAGGGTTTAGGGTTTAGGGTTTAGGGTTTAGGGTTTAGGGTTTAGGGTTTAGGGTTTAGGGTTTAGGGTTTGGGTTTAGGGTTTAGGGTTTAGGGTTTGGGGTTTAGGGTTTAGGGATTAGGGTTTAGGGTTTAGGGTTTAGGGTTTAGGTTTTAGGGTTTAGGGTTGGAATTTTCCCCCTTATACTAACAGTATCCCAACCCTAAACCCTAAATCCTCCAGTTTGCTTGATTTTGTCAAAGCGTTTAGGGCTTGTGGGGTACTAGTCAGATCACTTTTTGCAGCAAATAACAGCGCAATGTAGGGTTTGGGCTGAGCCAGAGCTCTTTCCAGAGTTGAGGGTGTTCTCATGAGCGTCGAGGGTTTAGATCTTCGGGTTGTGGTCATATTTTGGTCCAATCCGCACAGCCTACACCCCTATAGAGTTGAAACAGTGGGAAGTTGTCCAGAGCTACTCGTAAGTCCTTTCTGCCCTTGCGAAAGTGAGCCTTACAAGCACATGAAACCACCTCGTGCCTCCGCGCAGTGCCTTTGTCGACTGGTGGAGCTTGCCTGCATCCTCGTCGCGTGCCTGCCCTGGCAGCCTCGACCCTGGGCCTTTGCGAGCCCTGGCCAGTCTTCTTCTGATCGGCAGCCCCTCCATGAGCACCTGGTGACGCTGTCGGCCGCTCTGCAGCAGCACAAGCTGCCTGAGAGGGCCTCGGCCCTCATCGCCAGGCTGCAGCCCATCATCCAGGAAGCCCTCGTGCGCTGGGCAGCCGAGGAAGGGCCGGAGCCCAACAGCCTGGACAAGAGAGAGAGGACGCTGAACTTCACGAAGCTTCGTATGGAGTCAGGAGTCTCGCCTCAGACTGAACTTGCGGGAGCTGCTAGGCTTCTTGGGCGAGTGTGAGAGGAACGCCCGCGTGCGGAGAGCTGCGGAGGGCAGCCCAGGGTGGCCAGAGATTGCTGATTTTATCAATAAGGCGGGCGGTTTCCATGGCTTGGTAGGGCGCCTTGTGAACATGGAGCTGGCGGGCGTGGGTCGCCGCGTGCCCTGGCCTTGGAAAAAGCTTCGGCGCAGGCGCCGGAAGGCGGGTGTGCCACGCTGTAATCAGGCCTCACCTCCGGAGATCGCCGTGGTTGGCTCCGTGCCCAAAGGGACGGCTCTCCCTCTCTCTGATATCGACCTCCTCTGGTTTGCGGGTGATGTGCTGGCTGACGAGGGCAGGGCTCAGAGGCTGGCGGCCACCGTCTTTGAGGCGCTGTGGGCCAAAAAGGACTTTCAGGGCCTCGAGAAGGGCCGCTTCGGCATCAAGGGCAAGTGGAATGGCAGCGCCTTCGACCTGCTCCTGGGCTTCCACGTCAGACCCACCGAAATTCCCGTCTACGCTGACGCCGATTGCCGCCACCTCTCGTCGTCGCTGAATGTCATCCGCCAGCAGGTCTTCTTGGCCAGCCCTCGCCATCACCACGCTGTGCCAGCTGTGAGATCGCTGAAGCTCTGCTTCTTCATGCTGAAGCAGCAAAGCAACATCAGCCTAGGGGGAGCCTGCCCGGCCTCCTATGCCCTGGAGCTGTTGAGCCTCACGATGTGGGAGCTTGGTTTGAGGACGGTCACGGAGATCTTCCTTGGCTGCCTCCGCTTCCTTGTAGCTGCTGAGGAGCTCTCAAAGAGAGGCAGGCTCACAGTTGACCTCTTGAAGTCTCCTGCAATTGACTTCGTCCCCTGCACCTCATCACTGGGCAGCACCTCGGCACCCGAAGGTCGGCTAAGTGTCATGGAGCGCTATGAGCACCTCCAGTCTTCGCAGACCTGCTTCATCATGAATGACCCCTGGTGCGGGGAGGTCGTCTTCTCAAGTCTTGAGAACATGACAGCCGTCGCAGAAGCTGCCAGCGAAACGCTGCGCCTCTGCCGGAGCCATCCGCAGCCCTTGCGCGCAATCTTCGCGAGGCACCCTTTGCGCGAGCTCAGAGAAATCTTCGGACTCCCTGCCAACGCTAGCCTTCCATGGCGCGAGCTGAAGGATCCTGGAGGGGACAGGCTGCAGTTGCAGTTGCGTGGTGCTGCTTACACGGACCCCCAAGGCTTCCCACGCTGGATGCAGACAGGCATGAACATGGACGCCCAGTGGAGCTTCTTGTCCCGAAGGCAGCTGCAGAAGTGGCTCGGGCCCGTGAAATCTTCGGAGTGCTACCGAGCTCTCTTCCAGCGCCTCACATGCCGGAAGAACTTGTTGCCGCTGCAGGAGAAGCGCGTCGCGGGCGCATGGTCGAGCTACTTGAGGTGTGACGAAGCCTTGGCTGGTCTGGTCTCCGAGCTGGGCACCTGGGCAAGCACTTCCTCGACTACGCCCCCTCCATCCTTCCAAAGCTCCTGAGCGGGGCAATTCCGTTCCATGGAACCCGCCAGGGTGGGTTTAGGGTTTAGGGTTCAGGGGGTTTAGGGTTTGGGGCTTAGGGTTTAAGGTTTAGGGTACTCTTCCTCTCTGATCCCCACAGCCAGAAGCCCCAGTAGAGCACTGACCTCAAACTCCAAACCCCAAATGCTAGACCTCAAACCCCAACCGGACCAAACCCAATAAACCCGGTGCCTTTGAACTCCCCAACCTCCCAGGCAACCCTAAAGCCACAGTAGAGCCCCCAAACCCTAAACCCTAAACCCTAAACCCTAAACCCTAAACCCTAAACCCTAAACCCTAAACCCTAAACCCTAAACCCTAAACCCTAAACCCTAAACCCTAAACCCTAACCCGTAACCCTTAAAACCCCAAACCCAAAACCCCTCCCAGCCCCCATCTTCGTGCATGTAAGGTATCTGGAGAGGTCCAGTGCGGACAGGCCGTGCCCTCAGCATGGTGGCCTCACAACTCACTTAGGGTTTAGGGTTTAGGCTAAACCCTAAACCCTAAACCCTAAACCCTAAACCCTAAACCCTAAACCCTAAACCCTAAACCCTAAACCCTAAACCCTAAACCCTAAACCCTAAACCCTAAACCCTAAACCCTAAACCCTAAACCCTAAACCCTAAACCCTAAACCCTAAACCTTAACCCCTAAACCCTAAATCCTGGAGGGCGGGGTGGGTGGATAGGGAAACCCATGAGACAGGGGGGTAGTGTTGGTAAGCCTGAGGTTCATCCTAAACACCACCGTAATCCCTTGCCCTCTAGAGCCCCCTCCCTTGGAGGAGCCCACAGTCAACCAAAACCCTAAACCCTATACCTTAAACCCTAAGCCCTAAACCTTAAAAACTACACCCTAAACCCTAAACCCTAAACCCTAAACCCTAAACCCTAAACCCTAAACCCTAAACCCTAAACCCTAAACCCTAAACCCTAAACCTTAAACCCTAAACCTAAACACCCGAAACCTAAACCCTAAACCCTAACCCCTAAACACCCTAAACCCTAAACACTAAACCCTAAACCCTAAACCCTAAACCCTAAACCCTAAACCCTAAACCCTAAACCCTAAACCCTAAACCCTAAACCCTAAACCCTAAACCCTAAACCCTAACCCTAAACCCTAAACCCTAATTCCTAAACCCTAAACCCTAAGTGAGTCCATGCCGAGGAGGGTTTACAACTACCTGGCTTGAGCCCATGAGGCAATAGGACGCGACCGGGAGGGCTCGGGTTTAGGGTTTAGGGTTTGGGGTTTTGGGTTTGGTTTTTAGGCTTTAGGGTTTGGGGTTTAGGGTTTAGGGTTGGGGGTTTGGGGTTTGGGGTTTAGGGTTTAGGGTCCGCTCCAGTGTTCGGGTTATATAGTTGCCTCCTATGAGCATGCGCAAATGAAAGGAGAAGGCAATGGCTTGAGACAGGGCTGTCACGACTTGCAACACCCTAATGATACCCCGGATGCCCAAACAAGTCGCTGTTTAGGGTTTAGGGTTTAGGGTTTAGGGTTTAGGGTTTAGGGTTTAGGGTTTAGGGTTTAGGAAGAATGGTTTGCTTTTCGGACCTTGACATAAAGAAGAAAGAGTTTTTTTTTTTTGGCGTGTGTTGCTGGGAAGTGGGCCTTGAAGAATAGGAACAACTGCCTTGTGCGAGCTTCTCTATGAGACCAGACAGCAATCATGAGTCATAACAACAGCCAAAGGAGTAACCATCCAGGGGCTGGTGTCCAGATTTTTTGCTGCTGTTTGCTGTTGCGTTTTTTAGAAAGCTCGTTCTCTCGTCTGACTCTCGGATGGCCTTGTTCACTCTGGATGCATTGCAATGGCTTACCACAATTGGTAGTACTTCTTTGCTGCACGCGCCGCAGGTGCCTGAGCGCGCAATCGCGATGACGTGCGTTTTGTGTGGGTGTTGGAGAATTGTCGTGTTGAGCCTCGAGAGAAACTTGTAAGCCAGAGCGTTTTGTCCTTTAGTATTTATTTCACAAAGACATTGATGTTTCATTTTGTTCGCTTGTTTCATCGGGGAATGTCCACCGTTTTTCCCCAAACAGAATCGTTTGGGGTTCTCTCCTCAGAAAAAAGGTGGGCCGCAGTGGCTGGATGGGTGGGCCGCGGCAACGGGGCTGGGCTCCCATTGGGCTCCCTTCATGTCTCCTTTCTGGGCTCCTGGGTCGGATGGGTGGGCCGCAGCAACGGGGCTGGGCTCCCATTGTTCATGTTTCCTTTCTGGGCTCCTGGGTCGGATGGGTGGGCCGCGGCAACGGGGCTAGGCTCCCATTGGGCTCCCTTCATGTTTCCTTTCTGGGCTCCTGGGTCGGATGGGTGGGCCGCGGCAACGGGGCTGGGCTCCCATTGGGCTCCCTTCATGTTTCCTTTCTGGGCGGGTCGGATGGGTGGGCCGCGGCAACGGGGCTGGGCTTCCATTGAGCTCCCTTCATGTTTCCTTTCTGGGCTCCTGGGTCGGATGGGTGGGCCGCGGCAAGGGGGCTGGGCTCTCATTGGGCTCCCTTCATGTTTCCTTTCTGGGCTCCTGGGTCGGATGGGTGGGCTGCGGCAACGGGGCTGGGCTCCCATTGGGCTCCCTTCATGTTTACTTTGTGGGCGGGTCGGATGGGTGGGCCGCGGCAACGGGGCTGGGCTTCCATTGAGCTCCCTTCATGTTTCCTTTCTGGGCTCCTTGGTCGGATGGGTGACGGGGCTGGGCTCCCATTGGGCTCCCTTCATGTTTCCTTTCTAGGCTCCTGGGTCGGATGGGTGGGCCGCGGCAACGGGGCTAGGCTCCCATTGGGCTCCCTTCATGTTTCCTTTCGGATGGGTGGGCCGCGGCATTGGGCTCCCTTCATGTTTCCTTTCTGGGCTCCTTGGTCGGATGGGTGACGGCTCCCATTGGGCTCCCTTCATGTTTCCTTTCTAGGCTCCTGGGTCGGATGGTGGGCCGCGTCAACGGGGCTGGACTCCCATTGGGCTCCCTTCATGTTTCCTTTCGGATGGGTGGGCCACGGCAACGGGGCTGGGCGCCCATTGGGCTCCCTTCATGTTTCCTTTCTGGGCTTCGGGGTCGGATGCGTGGGCCGCGGCAACGGGGCTGGGCTCCCATTGGGCTCCCTTCATGTTTTCTTTCTGGCCTCCTGGGTCGGCTCCCTTCACGTTTCCTTCTGGGTGGGATGGGTGGGCCGCGGCAACGGGGCTGGGCTCGCATTGGTCCCCTTCATGTTTCCTTTCTGGGCTCCTGGGTCGGATGGTTTGGCCGCAACGGGGCTGGGCTTTTATTGGGCTCCCTTCATGTTTCCTTTCTGGGCTCCTGGGCCGCAGAGTCGGATGGGTGGGCCGCGGCAACACGGCTGGGTTTCTTATTGGATTCCCTTCACATTTTTGCTTCTGGGTCGGATGGGTGGGCTGGGTCGGATGGGTGGGCGGCGGCGCCGGGCTGCTGGGCTCCCATTGGGCTCCCTTCATGTTTCCTTTCTGGGCTCCTGGGTCGGATGGGTGGGTGGCGGCAACAGGGCTGGGCTCGCGTTGGGCTCCCTTTGTGCTTTGGATGGGTGGGCCGCGGCAACGGGGCTGGCTCCAGCCCAGAAAGGAAAGATACGGGGCTGGGCTCCAATTGGGCTCCCTTCATGTTTCCTTTCTGGGCTCCAGGGTCGGATGGGTGGGCCGCGGCAACGGGCGCTTTCCGCTTGTGGATTTCACAGACCAGGCCTATCAGACCTGGTGCCCAGAGGTTCCTGCAAGCAAGTCAATGGTCAGTCAAAAAAAATCGGGCAACTCTCCCGCCTTTTCAACAGAAGAACCTTGCGGCACTGGCAGGATCCTTGCCTGTGTATGTGAAGCATCTCTTCGTACGTCGTGTAAGTTATACCTGCAAACAATTCTGGATTGTTTACTCAGAAAAAACTCATATTGCTGCAGTGCAGCAGTGTGGCAACAATCCTGACAATCCTGCAACTGAAGGTAGATAGTGTGCCAAAACTTTGTGTTTTTGTACCCAAGAGCTTTGAGAGCTTTGAAGCCAGCAGAACTGGACTAACCCCTTCAGGCTCTAAGCAAAGCGCGAAGATAACAGAAAATCAGCCTTCAGGCTTCAGGCCAAGCGCGAAGCCAAAGAGCTTCAATCAGGCTTCAGGTGTTGTAACAGTTGCGGGAAAAGTTTTTTTCCGCGTGTGGTGTGTAAAGAAGTAGGCTTTTTGTTTTCCTTTGTGAAAGCTCATCTGTGCGTTTCCACAGACGTACGCAGCTAGGTATCCTTTCTCGCAATGCGGCAGTGTTGTAACAGTTGCGGGAGAAATGTGCATTTTTCCCGCGCGTGGTGTGTGCGGCAGCAAGATCCTGTGCAAGAGGCCCTGCGTTCGGTTTGCAGAAAAAATCGTCAACGGTTCCGTGCAAAGAAGGGTTTGTGTTTCCTTTGTAAACGCTCCTTTGTGCTTTCCACAAGCGTATGCAGCTAGGTATCCTGTCTCGCAATGCGGCAGTGTTGTAACAGTTGCGGGAGAAATGAGCATTTTTCCCGCGCGTGGTGTGTGCGGCAGCAAGATCCTGTGCAAGAGGCCCTGCGTGCGGTCTGCGGAAAAAATCGTCAACGGTTCCGTGTAAAGAAGGCTGTTTGTTTCCCTTGTAAACGCTCATTTGTGCTTTTTCCACAAACGTATGCAGCAAGGTATCCTGTCTCGCAATGCGCCAGTGTTGTAACAGTTGCGGGAGAAATGTACATTTTTCCCGCGCGTGGTGTGTGCGGCAGCAAGAACCTGTGCAAGATGCCCTGCGTTCGGTCTGCGGAAAAAATCGTCAACGGTTCCGTGTCAAGAAGGCCTTTTGTTTGCTTTGAAAAAGCTTATTTGTGCTTTTTCCACAAACGTATGCAGCTAGGTATCCTGTCTCGCAACGCGGCAGTGTTGTAACAGTTGCGGGAGAAATGAGCATTTTTCCCGGGCGTGGTGTGTGTGGCAGCAGGATCCTGTGCAAGAGGCCTTGCGTTCGGTCTGCG